TATTTTAATTTATCTTTGTCGTGTTGTGTCGTGTTTATCGTTTTTTAATTGGTTCGTTTTCGTGTTAGTTAAAAAAACATGACATCGTATCGTATCATGTTCGTGTTACTTAAAACATTGTCATGGAGTTCATGTTACTTAAAACATTGTCATGGAGGATATCGTGGATAGGGTGCAATATATCTAACCCAAATAAAAAGACGTCAAAATAAAAAGAAAAATAAATAGTAAAAAGTCTTCATCAAACAACCTACAAAAGAAAAAATAAATAAAATCAGAAGAAGCTCTTACCATATTTTACTACGGAGGAGGCTTTGGAGGATATCGTCGATAGGGTGGTGCAACTCCAAAAATCTTAGTCATATAGTCGTTGTACCCCTTGCGATGATCAATATCAGCCTATGCATGGTAGATAGTTTGGTATGTGTCGATGTGGCTTCATGAGTAGCTTTGTAGACACTTTTATTGCTTTTGGGTCCCATTTTGGTGCCTTTTCTTTACGCTTTTTAGTTCCACTTGACGATAAAGCCTTTGTACTCTTCTTTCTTTTATCTATTTTCTGCATAAACACAATTTAATTATAATCAATAAAACATGGTTGACATTAAACTACTATGGACATGTCTCATAGATTATTGCGTTTTTACCAAATTGAGTAACAAAAGCCTTGTACCTGTTCAATTAAATAGTGTATTCATCGTCAACAATCAATAACAGTGCATGATCCAAATAAATTTTATTTTAAAAGTCAATGTGGTCCCTAAGCTCTTTCACAGTAAAGTACGAAGTTTGAACTTGATTTCTTTTTCTTGCACTTTTATCGAAAAGAGAACAAACACCACATTACATTATACCTTGGGTTTCTAATGCAACAACGCATCCACATTACTTCTAGGAGGCTAAGGGTATGGTCACACTAAACCTACTAAAAAAGTGATATCACATTTACGCCCCACTACCAACCCATTAATCGTTGGAAATGGTTACCATTCCAAATCATTTTTTTTTTCTTTTTTATATTTTTTGATAATATTAGATTAAATTAAAAAAATAATTCAAATAAAACACACATTAAAAACATTAAATTAACATACATTGCATTAATTTTAAAACACACAAATTTAAATCCTAAAATATTTAAAAAACAATAACAACAAAAAAAATCTTAAATTACTTATTTATCATAAAATACTTTAAAAACAAAAAAAAAAATTCGTAAATTACTTATTTATCCTAAATTACTTAAAAAAAAGCACAACATAACAACTAAAACATAAATATTAGAACTTATTCGTCATATTTAGCACGGACACGTTGTTTGATTTTCAGAAATGCCGCGAGATTTTCGGGGTCGAGATTCGGTTGAGGCTTCGTGTTTATGTTTTGAAGATTAGTAAGAGCGATTTTTTGGCGACGAGCTTCCTCTGTTGATTAGTATTTTTTTCTAGAAAACTTAAAGTTTTATCTATGGTTTCCATAAGCCCGTCGTCGCTAGTTGTGATTGCTTTCCCTCTTGAAGACGCCGCCCGTTTTGCTTTGTCCCTTCTGGGTGGTCGACGAAGTTGAACATTAGGTCGACCCTCTCCCACAGCAACATCGACGTCATCATTGAGGTCTAGCCCAAAACTCGCGTCCGAATCAGAAGTTTCTGGTCTTTTATTGGAGCCGATGGTCGAGTCCAAATGCGATGTCTCTGGATTAAGAACCTATTTTGGACCTTGACGGCACACTTCCCACGCTTTTTGGTGACCAAATGGTTTACCGTTGTTGGTCACTTTGAATTGATAGCACGCGGTTGATATAATATTTAAATCGTTAGAACCACTTTTATGCATATTCAGATTTTCAAATATGCCATTAAACTTTGTGCAAATCGTGCGAGGATCACACCATTTTCTGTTGACCACGTCGTACGACTGATCCGTTTTCCTTCCAAGTAGTGCATGAACGTGGTCCAAAATACGATTCCAAAAACTTTCTCCAGATTGTGCGTTGCCTCTTCTCGAGTCACAGGATATAAAAATCCAAGCTTTTGCTAAAGCATCTTCTTCTTCTTCGTTCCAAGCCGTTGCTTTCTTTTTACCTTTTCCTTTTGGTTGCCATCTTCGAGATGATTGTGGTGTTTCTTAGACCAGTTCATTGTCGTTGTCGAGGTTGACGGTTTGAGGATTGAGATAATGAGACTTGAGATGATTGTGTTTGGAGTTGTGGAAAATCTTGTTGTTGAAAACCTTGGAGTTGGGGAATGAATTGAGGTTGAGTGAATTGTTGTTGTGGTCGTTGTTATTAGAAAAATTGTGGGTTGTATGGAAGGTTAGTGAATAAAGGTTGTTGTTGGATTGGAGAATTCAACAATTTCATATATGTTTGATAATCACTTGGAGTGTTTGGGGTGTTTGGAGTAGGTATATATATATATATATATATATATATATATATATATATATATATATATATATATATATATATATATATATATTATATATATATATATATATATATATATATATATATATAGAGAGAGAGAGAGAGAGAGAAAAAAAGAGAGATAAAAGATGTTATTTAATTTTTTTTTCCTAAACTCCAAACGGTCAAAAAAGCAACCATTACCCTCTATCTCTCTCAATTTCATTCGTCGTCTTCGTCCGTGGTAGACATTACGCCACAAGGCACCTGGAGCGGTGTTCATGTGTAGGTGACCTTGCCACGTACGCCCCACGCGTAACCAACACTATACAATAACGCAAAGCCTGAACTCTTCCAAACAGTGCACATAAGGAATAAAAATTGATGTTCTTACCTTGGATTTTGAATGAGGGTTGATGGAGATAATGAATGAAACCGATTTATAACAAAACCCAATAAAAATTCGAAACCCTAGGTTTGAATTTTTCCACTTTCGGCCAAGATCAATGCACATCTTACAATCTAGTACACCTTAATCCAATTTCTTAAACATTATTATGCAAGAGAAATAAAGAAACAATAAGGTTTAGAAACTTACTTGTTCAACAATGGAGGTAGGAGCCAAGAAGAACACATGAGAGAGAAAACTTGTGATTATAAATTTTCAATGTGGTAAAAAGTGTTTCATAGCTAATAGGAATCATCTAGGGTAAAAAGGAGCTGGACGTTTGATCAAATGGGGTGGATTGTCGCTTATGATTTCGTAACATAAAAATTTACCATCAACGTCCAGATTTGATTATAGAAAGAAAAACGTCCGGTCTTCTGATTTCCACCGTCTAGGACAGTGCTGTAGACGGTGACGTCAATTGTTTGATGGAAGACAGCATCTTGAACAACTATTTTAATTGTCCACGGTCTAACTGCTTCAAGAAGATGTGAGTCACATTTTAAGTTTTAAGCTTTATATTTTAATGGGAAAAATAACGCAACGATCCTGTTATGTATTTTGATTTTATCCTTTGAGTCTTTAAAGTTATTTTCGTGTCCTTTAAGGGAACACAGTTGATGTTAACCTTTTTTTTTTTTTTTGTTTTGTCACGGCGATCTAATATACCATGTTACAGCTGATGTGGTTTATGATTTGGATTTTTTTAGTAAAAAAAAGAAATAATCAAAACTAGGGCCTACCATCTCGAGAGATTCTGTGTCTCAAAAAGATGTTCTTTTTAAAGGGATTCCAAATCATAAGTCACATCAACTTTAACCTGTTATATTAGGTTGCAATGATCAAAAAAGGAGGTTGACATCAACTTTGTTCCTTTAAAGATACGAAAATAACTTTAGAGATTGAAAAGGTAAAATCGAAATACATAACCGTTGTGTCATTTTCCTTATTTTAATTTAATATTTTTTTCGCTTCAAACACTTGTATTTTCATTTAATTCCAAAAGTTTGTGATTTGAACAACTATTTTTCGATCTACTTACTTTTCTTTAATTTAATTTCAAAATTCATCCAATTCTCTCTCTCTTTTTTATATTAGAAAAATAAATATCTCCTCCCCAACTTAATCTTGGATCGTCCTTAAATAAAAAATAAAGAATTAAACAAAAAAAAAAAAAAAAAAAAAAAAAAAAAAAAAAAAAAAAACAACTAAAAATACACCAAAATGTTAGTTGCGTCCCTAAAAGCACTAAATTTTATGTCTTCAGCAGGACGTGTTACCTAGAGTAAATTATTTCTTAATATTGAGGTACCTAAAATATTGTTTTCTCAACGAGTGTCATTTTGCCTTCTATCATTCGAAAATATGTTTTGAATCTTTATCCATTTACCTTGAATGGTTCACCGCTTTTTGTGTCTTTGATTTCAATGACACCATGATCCTCGACATTTGTCACCGACAAAAGGTCCACTCTATTTACTACGAAGCTTCCCGGGTGTAACAGCCAGACTCTCAGGTATATTAATTATATATTTAGTTTTGAGATTTATTGAGAAACTCAACGATTTGGTGCCTCAACTCATCGAGTAGAGTCGAATTGGCCACGTGGGTTTAATAACCGACTCGACGAGTCAGAGAACCGACTCCTCGAGTTGGCGCTGTGTGAGGAAATCCTAAATCTTCGGGGTTGGGTCCTATTTAAAGGGCCTTAAGTCCTCATAGGTGGGAAAACAATTTGGCAAGTTCTAAAAAACAATGCACATACATGGATAAAAAGTGGTTTAAAAAAAATTACATGTGTCAATTTATGTTTAGGAACGATATTATAAAGTGTTTTGAACCATATATTAAGCTGCTCTAAAAAAGCAATAAAATTTTAATATCAAGTCCTCAAAACATATAAAAGTAATATTTCAGAATTTTGTAGGTTTTATATATCAACCCTAAATTATTTCACCGTCCCCACAAATCGACTATCACTTAAGAAAAGTCTTCGAAGTAGCTACACAGCTAAATTATCCAGTCCGTTTATTATATATATATATATATATATATATATATATATATATATATATATATATATATATATATATATATATATATATATATACATGATCTATGCCAAACTTCTTCAATGAGCTATTTTCTGCTTTCCATATCTGAGCCATGGAGCGGATGCAGAAACGACTTTATGACGCGTCAGTAGAAGGAAACCTAACCGTTTTGATAATGTTGCTTCAAGAAGATCCACTGATTCTTGACCGAGTTACCCTAAATCGCTATGGTGACATGCCTCTACACATCGCATCAATGCTTGGACATACTGAGTTTGTTAAGGAGATCCTAGCTCGAAAGCCTCTGCTTGCTATGGAGCCTGATTTACAAAGACGCTTGCCTCTTCATATAGCATCTGCAAAAGGCCATGTGGAACTAGTTAGAGCTCTGCTATCGGCTAGCACTGAAACATGCCTTGCGTGTGATTGTGATGGGAACAATCCTCTCCATCTTGCAGCCATTAAAGGACGCAGTGATGTCGTGAAAGAGCTGGTGCAAGCCCGACCTCATGCAGCTAGAGCCATCGTGCAGCAGGAGACCATCTTACACTTGTGTGTGAACCATAACCAATCGGAGATTTTGAAGTTCTTAATAGAGACCACAGGTGATGATGAGTTTGTAAGCTTTAAGGACAGTCAAGGCAATAATATATTACACCTAGCTGTGGTTTACAGACAAACTGAGGTAAGCATGCATACCAAGATTTTTCCCTTCTTTTTGTAAGAACTAATTAATGTTGAAATATCAAATATATAATAAGTTTTTGATCTGTGTCTGCAAGATTTATTCATTTTTATTAACTGATCCTATCCTTAACATTTGTTTAGACCATAAACTTCTTGCTACTCAGTACAACTATACAAGTCAACGAAGAAAACTCAAGTGGGGAAACACCAATGGATATATTGGGTCAAGGACCGAAAGACTTGAAATATCAACAAATCTTACAGTCCCTAACGCGAGCAGGAGCTGTTGAGGCGAAAATTGGTAATTTGTTCAGACAAGATCCTCAAAGTTCCAGAAACGAAATCGGTGTGGATGGCTTAGACGACTATAATAAGAGACAAGCCTCTCCTTTTTACTTGAAAGAAACCTCTAAAAACTCTGATGACTGGCTGGACAAAAAGCGAAACACTTTGATGGTGATGGCATCATTGATAGCAACAATGGCCTTTCAAGCAGGTAGTAATCCTCCCGGTGGTGTTTGGCAAGAAGGGACAAGGGAAGATCCAAACATTAAGGCTGGATACGCTATCATGGCAACCACTCATCCATTAGAATACCAAATCTTCCTGGTTTGCAACACGGTGGGTTTTGTTTCCAGTCTTAGCATTATCTTGTTGCTTATTAGTGGATTGCCTTTTCTGAAGCATCGTTTTTTCTTGTGGATTTTGATGGTTATAATGTGGATTGCTGCTACGTCAATGTCAGCAACGTACTCGATTTTCATATGGCTTTTGTCACCAAAAGCCGAGTCAAATACATTCAGGAATGTGGTAATTTGTATTGTGTTGGTATGGATAGGGTTGATGACTCTTCTAGTTGTAGGACACATCATTCGCCTGATTGCAATCGCTGTGAGGATCTTGAGAAGGCTACTCTTCCCTAAAAAGAGGCCAATATTACGTCCAACTATCAGGAACCAAGATGGAATGTAATATGTGAAACATTCAATCGGTCTCACACCTGGTACGCACGCGACACGCTACAAATCAATGATAATAGTGAAGATAAGAAATATTACATTATTTAATGTTATTTTATCAATAGAAATGATTGTTATGAATGAAAATGTTGTTTACAATATATTTTATTTATATTATTATAATACAAAATTTTACAATTCAATATCCAATCTAATTTTTCTTTATTATATTGATGGTTTTCAATAATAACTTTTTTATTTTTCAACATCTCTTAAAGGAATGTCAAAGTAGTATCATAAAACCATCCGGTCTTTCAAATGGTCTTGCAAATAGGTTATATGTTGCCATGTAGGCTTTAGTCTTGCAAGTTTAGAAAAGCTTGCAATATACGATCCACTTTTTTTTTTTTTATTTTATTTTATTTTTTTTTTTATTATATATTCTCATATAGAGACAAACATATATTTTAAAATAAATAAAATAGTTTTTTATTTTTTAGTGGTGACCAATTTAAAAAATATATTAATATTATATTAACATGGGTTAAGTTATAAATCTAATGTGTCAAGTTTTGCAATACCACAGACGTGGATGCTCTAAGCAAACAATACTTTTTGGAAAACTATTTTTAAAAAATGTGATGATTTTTCCGCCCAATTAATGATTTTGTGTTTAGTGGATTTAATTTAATTATTGAGAAAACATGTCTAAAAGATGTTTCTTGATAATTAAAAAAAAGTTTTAACAATTTATTTGAAACAACCATTATAAAGTTACATAACAAGCATGTAACTATTTTACTTAATATATGTATTTTTTATAAATAGCTGATTAATTGATAACTATGAATTTTAATGATCAAAATTTGTTTAATTTTATAACTATTGTTTCCAGGAACTACTAAAAATAGATAAAAGGATCCAGTTAAATACCATATTGGACCCGGTTCGCAACTGGGTTTTTTATAAGGCATGTTCTATAAGTGAAATCTAATAGAGCCTGGTTTTTACAACCGGGGCTTATTAAGCTAATACAACCCAATTTCGTTATATAAACTGGGTCTTTTCCTCGAACCACAGCATTCCATATGATTATATAATCCGGTTCTCACACATACAACTGGGTTCTATCTTGCAAGTTAGATGCAAATCTTGTCTAATTATATAGCCCAGTTTTATTATATACAACTAGGTTTTTTCCTTTTTTCAAGCTGTTTAATATTTTTTTCTATTAAATATACCAATACCAAAATGCTTATTTTTACAATTGTTATATTTGAATGTTTGCACTTAATAACCCAAATAAATAAATCATTTTATTAATTTCCGATGAATTTGTACATATTTACATCAACTAACACTTGGATACAACCTTAACAAGATGTATACATATGTAACCCTGTTGAAGGATTTTGACACCAATCTCATTGCCACACCCCATTTCCCATGCTCATCAATTTGTTGATGTTGCTCGCTTGAAACACCCCAATATATACAAGCCAATCAAACTTGATATGCAGCCGAAGACTCGTATGCTTCTTATTGATAAATGTCCATCAAGCTTATCGACATTTACAAAGAGAAAACAAAGCATATTTAAGCAAACTCTAAACGCAAAATAGGCTATTACACAGAAACAAAAGATATAAAATATACATACATTGGAACCCTTAGTCCCTTAGTCTTCATACCTGTCATCTTGAGTTCATGTACACCACTTCCCAACTGTTCATCTTATCCAACATAAAATATCAGTAATCACAAAAGAAAATGTTTAGGCAGATCCTTATAAATTTTTTGGCACTCATAATCAATGCAATAAACCTCGATCTTCTCATGTTTTTATGGTTCCTTTTCAAAATTCCATCTACCAACTTTCTGCCCAACATTTCATTAATTCCTGCTACAAAATGGTTACCATGAGGTGTATAAGACTCCATGTCTACAACCATTTATGGGGCGGAAAATTTAAGTGGATTTTGTATCAATAGAAATGAAAAAGAATAGAGAAAAAAATGAAAAACTAAGCAAACATTGGACACTACTTTCTACTGCATATAAAATAGGAGAAGGATGCTACATTTAACAACTGACCAACAAATATATCAGAAAAAAGAAAAAAAATAACTAAACCAATTTTGTGTGTGAATCGCTGCTACACCAACAGCTCCTTCCCCTTCGACGAAGAGGTACCTGAAACCAAAACCAAAACTGTAAGCACGAAGCTTAGTGAGTTCCCCCATCATACCACATACCATACAATATTGTCGGTATCTTTCAATCAGTAACCATCATCAGTATCTTTCAACCGGTATTCAACCGGTAACCATCATCGGTATCTTTCAACCGGTAACCAACATCGGTATCTTTTAACCAGTATCCGTCATCGGTATCTTTCAACCAGTAACTGGGGACTATTTCACCCCTACCACTACCATATAATCAACAGATATAAGCATACCGTCAGGCATATCTGGGTACTGACCTACCCTTTGGTCCTGAAGACCACTGTCAGGAAAACTAATCCCTACTGTACACATAACATATCATACAGATAAATCTCATAACAAAACACATAACCAGACCAAGATAATTATCACAAAGACCATTATCTTTTAAATACCCCTTTCTGGTGGGCCGACATTGTGGCCTTAGACCTACCCCTACTAGAAGGTAACTCACCTCAATGTCGTGCAGTGTCTGAACTATCCTCAACGCGCAATTCGACTCCCTTCGACTCCTTGATTCCTACACAACAACCCTTACGTCATCAAACAGAACATACAACCCATACCAGGGTTAACTCAAGTCCATTTAAAGTCAACATTGCTCAAAGTCAACACCGAATTGACCTGACTCGTCGAGTTGGCCTACCAACTCATCGAGTCCCTGCCCTTCAAACCTGATATCAGTTTCGATTCAACTCGTTGAGTCTAACAAGAACTTGATGATTTCTCCTTTAATTATAACATTGGGAACATCATCATCCGACTTGCCGAGTTCCTCCTTTAATCCGTCGAGTCCATCTCCCCCATAAAGAACTTGTCTGGTCTATGACTCGCCGAGTTGTATGAACAACTCGTCGAGTCTGCTCAACCTACTCGCCGAGTCCTTTGAGGTCAAGGTCCCTCTACGCGTCTAAACCAACAAGGGACTTCCTTCCTAACACTTATCTATTCACAGAAAGGGTTTGGTGCACAATGGTTACCGACTCGTCAAGTGCCAAGAACAACTCACCGAGTCCAACCTTGACAAATTCCATACAATCGATTTAAATGAGATCTAACACACCAAAACCATAGATCTGGCCTCGTAATGTCCATTTTATACATAAAGCTCCAAACTTGATGCACATGCATGGGGTTTTTAGCTCAAAAATCCATATAAAGTGTCTTGCAATGTGCATGGGGCTCTCATGGCCATAAAGTTGGCACCTTTATGCCATGAGACCCCTCTTAAGGTCCAGATCTGAAGTCAAAACCCACTCAACACTTCCAAATCCGAAAAATGACTTAGAAATCCATAGAGATCCCAAGTTAAAGATGAATAAACACATAGATGAGTCAAGATAAGGGGAATTATACCTTGAATATGCTGAATATGAAGTAAGATCTTAGGATCTACAAGCCCCAACTCGATTTCCATGCTCCTTTCTTTCTTCCAAAAATGGCCTTAACACACACACAAATGGCTAGGGTTCGATATGAAGCTTTCAAGAGAGTGTTAGGGACAAGGGAGGCTGAGTTAAGTTGTTTATATATGGTGCAAACCCTCAGATTTAGGGTTTCACTTATCCAACACCTACTAGCCGAGTCAATCTCCTAACTCGTCGAGTCCGTCACTTAAAATGTCCGCGGCCACGACCCTACTCGACGAGTTGATCCTCCAACTCATCGAATCTTAGAGAAAATACACATACTGAAGAAAACATACCTGATGTTACAATTTTATTTTAACATAAAGAAACCAAATAATCCTAATCAATTGAATCAATAGCTTTAGCAAAAGCATGAAAGGACATAATATTTTAGGGAAAAAAATATATCTCTTGATGTCAATTGCCTATGTAGAGCTTTAATTAGATTATAATACATAAGATATGATAAATTAGGTATTTTGGATCTTTTTGCATTATATGAAATAATATTTGGTAACAGAAACAATACCATCATATGAATGTGTACAGATTAGTGCTCTAATAGAGTAGAATGTGGGTTTGAACCTGTCAAAAAGATCAAATCCGCTTTTGAAATTTATACAACCCTGTGTAAAGAAAATCAAATCCCATTTGTCTCAATAGAAGATCTACTTTTGAAATCCAGGCTGGCAACTATGAATCAAATTTCAGTTCTTCATGAGTGTAGTAATGATGTCTAATAATGCCTTTGCATCAGTAACTTGCTCCCTAGGCATTTGAATTGGAAACAAAACAAAACATAACACACATTTTATTAGAAACACAAGAAACTAATTGTGTATACATGAAGAATCCAAATGATCAATTTTTTTTCAAAATCCATGTCAGATTAACAATTAATGGTTCCTTGTAGTGTTATCATTCACATCAATTTAGTTACTTTAAGAAAGATGCTTCATAAAAATTAAAAAGTAAAAACTATAAAGTAAACAATCGGCTTTTTCTAAACCACTGATGCAGGTATTCAAGAGATAACCAAAATGATGATCAACATCTATGTTTTTCCCATTTACTTCACACTAGATATTATTTGAACCGGTCTGTTCAAGAAATGTTTGAGTGACATCATAGATTCTGCATCACTGAGTTTTCCAGCAACTCCAACGATTTCCTCGAGTTTCACTTGCAGGATAACTTCCACCACCACATCAATCAGCATCATGGATCATGGGAGGCATGTCTACACACACACATTAAACCCTAACCAATATGACTTAATAACATAACCATTAAACCCTAACCCATAGGACTTTATGCCCTAACCCTTAAACCCTAACCCATATAACTTAATGTCATTACCCTTAAACCCTAACACG